TCGCAGGTCAGGTCACTGTTCCCTGCAGCCTGAGTCCACTTCAGCCCTCACACAGGCCTCTTCGCACCAGGCTCGGCACTTGGAGGGCCTCCTGGGAGAGCCATTTCCCAGATCCCCTGAGCCGTGTAGGGGGCGGATGCTCACGGGCCTGTGGGCCTTTGCCAGGTCAAGGCACTGCCTGCGCCCAGCCTCTTTCGGCTTCTTGACTCAGTTCACCCTCTAGCCTCTACGCTGCTCTGCACTGGCACCTCTGCTCATTCTTTATTGGGGAGCCACACTCAGCTATGCTCAGGGCTTACTCCTAGCTGTGCACTCCAGGATTAGTCTTGACAATGTTCAAGGGACTGTACAGGATGCGGGGGGGTCAAACCCAGGTTGGCCCTGTGCAACGCGAATGTCCATTGTAACTATCTCTCTGGCCCCACCTCTGTACATTCTTAGATCCCATTTCCTCGGCCCCTTTGCTTTTTTTTTTTTTTTTTTTTTTTTGCTCTCATAGAGGAGAGCAGGGAAGCAGTCAGGAGGGCTGCATGGAGGCCAGGTGGTGATGCTTTTCTCCATATTTGACACCCAACAAATGACGCCAGTTGCAACAGGCATGATTTCTCATGAAATTGTAGTTGTTTCTCCAACAGACCTAAGGCCAGTTCTAACACCAGAGCTATTGTATGATCGGGGCCATGCCCAGCAGTGTCAGGAATAGAACCCAGGGCCTTGCATATGCATTGCATAGCACAGGGCAGAGCCCCACCAGCCCTACAGGTGGCTGTCAAGCCACATCTGACGTCCACTTGGTCATCTCCTTATGGGAGTTGAGCCCACCACTCGATTTCTACAGAAGCTGCGGACTCTGGCTGGGGCAAGGAATTGCTTTTTGTGGGAAAGGAAAGCCAGTTCTTGACCTTACCCAGGGCTTCCAAGTCTTCGTTCTATTTCACAGAAAAGAATTTAGGAAGAGATGAACAGTGAAGTAAAAGCAAATTTTATTTGGAGGAAGGGGAAGGATGGGGAGAGACAGAGAGAGAGTAACACCCTCAAGACAGAATGTGGGCTTCTCCAAGGATGGAGAGAGCCCTAGTACACATCTCAAGAGGGGAGATGTTGGCGACATATGTGCTTGGGCACTGCATATGCTCAGCTACATGGGCACTGGCAGCACATGGGCCCGGGCAGCATATGCATGAGTTTCCTGTGTCTAAGGTGACTTTTAATAGGGTTTTTCCCAAGTTGCCTGTGTAGGGACATTTACCTAGGTAAGAGTCCATTGTTAGGATGGTTGCCAAAGAGAGTAGAGTTGATAGTGGTCTGTGGTCTTCTTTGAAATTCCTTTCCTGGCCTTTATTCATAAGGTTCTCTCGGAGTGGGGGGGGGGGGTCCAGCCTTCTCTGGGTTTCTGGGTGCAAGGTGAATTCCTACCAGTTCACAAGGTAGGCTTTTGCCAGTTCACAAGATGGACTTTTGCAGTCTTGGGGCTATTGGTTTTATTACTTCCCAAGAATTCTTTTGTCATAGGGGCCCTTTTATCTACCTGCTTACATCACTGGGAGGATTCAAGCCAGGGTTGGCCACATGCAAGGCAAGTACCTTAATGTTGTACTATCGCTCCACCTCCCAGCCCAAGAGCTTAACCACTTTTTGTTTGGGGGACACGTCTAGGGGTCCTCGGGGGCTATTCCCAACTCAGTGCTCAGAGGTTACTCCTGGGAATTGCTCCGGGTGGTGCTCAAGGAACTATATAGTGCTAGAACACAAATCTGGACCTCCCGGAGGCGAATCATGTGCTCAGCCCATTGAGTTTTTTCTCTTGGACCCAACCTAATCATTTTAAAATGAGTAATTCAGTGGGATTAAGTACATTTGCAATGTGCAGCCCTCACCACCTTCTATCTCCAGAACTCTTTCATCTTCTGAAGTTGAAAATTTGCCCTCTTTAAATACTAACCCCAAATCCTGGTAACCAACCGTCTACCATCATTTACCACATAATCATTACAGGCTTCATGCCCAAAATTCTGTTTGAAAGTGGGGTGGACCATTAGGTGAAGCATTTCAATTTTAATTGTGACAGTATTAGATAAAAATAATTTATTACTAAGATGTTTTTGGTGTAAGATTAGGATGCACGGCGGGGAAAAAAAAAGAATATTCATCAAAATGGAATGGTCCAGTTGGATGCAGGAAGATGCCATAACTTGGGATGCACCCGTGGTAGCTTTATGTACCTGATGGTTCCCCTTGCACCTTTGTCTTTTTTGGGTTGAGAAACAATAATGTCAGTAAAGTGCCCTAAACAAACTTGACATTTGGAAATGCACTGAAATGTGCATAAGAATTCTAGGCTCATGGCCATTCACAGACTGTGAGAAGACAAATGCGTGTCCATTTGCCAACTGATAGATACGTTGCTGCTTTGTCTACCTTTTAAGAAGCATAAGGAGCAGAATCTTACCATTTGATGATGGTGAAATGAAAGGTTACAAGCCAGTTTGGTAGGGCTGGAGCGATAGCACAGCGGTAGGGCATTTGCCCTATAAGCTGCCGGCCCGGCTGAGCCAGGTTCGATTCCTCCGCCCCTCTCGGTGAGCCTGGCAAGCTACCAAGAGTATCTCGCCTGCAGGGCAAACCTGGCAAGCTACCTGTTACGTATTCGATATGCCAAACACAGTAACAAGAAATCTCAAAATGGAGACATTACTGGGCTCGCTCGAGCAAAACAACAGGAGGACAGTAACACAGTGACAGATAGATAAGCTAGTTTGGGGGCTGGAAGAAAGGGGTCACAGTTATACAGTGAAATATGGCACTTTCTGTGTTCAGGGTTTTAACTCTTTCTCTGGCATATAAGTGGAATCATGCAGAATTTGTCTTTTTTTTTGCTGACTTGTTTTAATTCAGTGTCCTCAAAACTCCTTCACATTGTTGTATGTGTCAGACTGTCCTACCTTTGTGGGGCTGACTAACAGCCCCGTGTTGGGTGTAGCACATTCTGCTTATCCTTTGGTTTGTCATTGGCCACTTGGATTGCTTCTGCCTCTGGCTATTGTGAATGGACACGGGGCCTCAAATGTCTTTGATATTCTGCTTTCGGCTCTTGGTTGTACTTATTGATTCATTTGTGCTTAGGGGTTACTCTGGGGCCCTGCACTCAGGAATTACTCCTAGATATAACCCGGGTCAGCCAGATGCAAGGCAAACATCCTACCTGCTGTCCTATCCCTCCGGTCCCCTGCTTTCAGTTATTTGGGGCATATACCTAGAAGTAGAATTGCTGAATCTAGATTTATTTTTTGCTCTTTTGAAGCAAGTTTATCTGTTTTCCACAGTGAATGCACCACATTCTGTTTCCACCCTCAGGGTGCCAGGGAACCCGTTTCTCTACATCCTTACCAACACTTTGTGTGGTGTGGATTTTTTGTTTATTTATTTATTTATTTATTTATTGAATCACTGTGGGAAAAGTTACAAAGCTTTCAGGTTTAGGTCTCAGTCATGCAAATATCAAATACATTTCCCTTTACCAATACTTATTTTTCACCACGAAGAATCCCAATAAACTCCCCCTCAACCCTCCCAATGCCTGTGAGGCAGATGAATTCTAGTTAACACTCTATCTACTTTGACTAGATTCATTGTTTCGATAAAAGATGCACCATTATTATTTAGAGTTTACACCCCTAAATCAGACATGCTGAAAAGGCAATGCGAAATGATTTGTTTTCTACAGCTGGGTTCAAGAATTAAATGATGTCACACGGCTGCTATGGCAGCCGCGCGGTTTTGGATTTCTGTTATTTTACTTATTAACCCTGGAAGTATTTCTGCTTAGAGTCAGATAATTAAGAGATTGGTTTATGTGGTCTGGAGCCATGGCCGTGCCAGAGAGCCGCTCGTGGGGGGCAACTGGTGACCTCGGTAGGGCGTGAAGGACGAGCCGAGAACACCCCCCTTCCCATGAGGTTTTAGTCGCCCCATCACGACCAGCTCATACTTGGCTTTCCACAAAGCTCCCAAGCGGCTGCCATCTTTCTTTCCAGAAGGAAGAGGGCGGAAGGGAGCAACACCCCTTCCCCTCCGGGCAGACATGATGGCGTGGATTAATGCATAGTCCGTTCACTTTTCTGCTGCAAGCTGCTGGGCTCTGCATTAAGTCCTTGTGCTTCTGGAACCATGGCCGTGCTGGAGAGCCACTCGTGAGGGGCAACTGGTGACCTCGGTAGGGCGTGGAGGACGAGCCGCGAATGCCCCCCTTCCTATGAGGTTTTAGTCGCCCCATCATGACCAGCTCATACCTGGCTTTCCACAAAGCTCCCAAGCGGCTGCCATCTTTCTTTTCAGAGGGCTTGTTTTTATTTTTCATAGTGAATCTGATGGTTGCTGGAAGGTTTGCCTCAGTGTGGTTCTGATTTGTGGTTCTCATGGTCAGAGATGTGGCCTAGTCATCCTGCCTGTCACGAGGCAATGTTTGTGTGTGTGTGTGTGTGTGTGTGTGTGTAGTGTCAGTGTGTCTTTTTGATACTGGTCACTATCAGTGCTTGACCAGGAAAGACAAAGATATAGCCATTTCTTCTGTGGGTGATGGAGAGTAGGCAGCTTCCCTTTAGGAGGGATTGCAGGAACGGGTTGTAAGAACATCCCGGCGCTTGCCTTCTGGTGGATGTAGTTGCGGGTTTTCAACTCTGAGTCACTGCTGTTGGGAAGTTAGGGCTGCATTAATAAACCGATCAATAAAAGGCATAATGCGTGTTCCCTGAGGCCCCTTTAAGGTTCTTCAGGCTTGGAGAGCTCTACCACAGACAGTCCATGTGCCTGCTGTTCCGCTGCCCTCCTCCCTGTCCCCAGTAGCCAGGGTCAGCTGCTGGGGCGTGCCCTCTCACCTTCTGATTTGCCCTTTCAGAAGCAGCCACCTTTGGTCCTGACCCCCGTTCCCCATGGTCCCAAGTGCCTGTCCCCACCACCCCACTGTGGAGAGTTATATATGACTGGCCCTTCTGTGTGCCCAGGGATCTTTGGGCAGCGCCTGGAGGACACGGTCCACCATGAGCGGAAGTACGGCCCCCGCCTGGCACCCCTGCTGGTGGAGCAGTGTGTGGACTTCATCCGGGAGCGCGGGCTCACCGAGGAGGGCCTCTTCCGCATGCCAGGCCAGGCCAACCTGGTGAGGGACCTGCAAGATTCCTTCGACTGCGGGGAGAAGCCTCTGTTCGACAGGTAAGCTCCCGAGGGGCAGTTCCAGATGAGGCCCTGCCCGCCACCCAGGGGCTCCTCCCAGGCTACCTGCTCCCTGGACACAGTGGACGGGTAGGCTTCCACACTTGGAAGGCTGTCCCCTCCCACACACAATCCACTGCACTGGCACAGGTGTGGCAGGGGCTGGGACCCAACTCCGGGTGGGTTTTGGGGTCGGCCGTCATTCCCTCCTGCTTGTCCTGGGCCCGTGGCACATCGCTGGCCCTTATTAGGTCCTGGCTCCACTCTGGGAGAGGATCCTATGCCTCTTAGAGTCCCAGGTCAGAGATTGGGGAACTGCGGCTATTTGAGGGACCACTTCTGCCTCCCAGAAACTTCCTCACTATGGGATCGTTTTCCATAAATATCGCTGCCTCCTGCCGGCCCTGGCCCCCTTTCTTGCCCACGTGCCCTCACATCATATGAGTCCCCCCAGCCTGCAGCGTAGGCCCCGCGGCACCGGCCAGTGGCCTGATCTTCCCAACTCCGCTCTCAGGGAAATTCCCCTCAGCCCCTCCACCTTGTGCCCAGCGCTGCAGCCCAGAGAGGAATTGTGGGCCCCTTTGCTAAGGGGCCCTTTGCTAAGAGCAGCAGCCGCTCCCCAGGGAGGGCACTGGGAAGCATCCTGAAACTCTGGGCTACTGAGCCCAGTGTGTCCAGTCTCCACCAGCTCGTGGGCCATTTGGAGCCCTGGACAGCCAGCTCTGCCCCCCATCCTGTGCTTCTGCTTAGCAGTCAGGTTTGGGAGCCAGTGGCCAGGGGATGCCCCCACCTGAGAAATGGGAACAGAAAGGCAGAGGGACTTGTGGGGGGGAGTTGGGGTCAGACCTCCCTAGCTCCCCATCCCGACTCAATTCCTGACTCCTTCCTTGCCGGGAAGCACCCCCTAGACCTACTCTCTTTGTGTTTTCTACTCTTTTCTTTTTTATTTTTATTTATTACAGTGAGATAAACAGTTACAAAGCTGTCCGTGATTGGGTTTTGGCCATACACCATTTCAACACCTGTCCCTTCACCAGTGTACATTTCCCACCACCAATGTCCCCAGTTTCTCTCCTTCCACCCCCCACTCCCCTACCCACGGACTGCCCCTAGGCAAACAGGCATTATGGTTTGCAGTACAGGTACTATAAGGTTATCTTGTATATCCCTTTACCTTGGTCTTAAATGTTGTTGTGTCTGATTGGCAGATTAGCAACTGAGCTCAGTAGACAGGCCCACCCAGAGCCCCTTCCCTCTTCTTATATGACACTTTCAAGAAAAGAGCCTTCTCAGCTCCTCACAGGGCTCTGGAACTATCTGTTTCTCCCCCTTCCTCTCCCTCAGCTGCCTCTCCCCGGGGGGTTCAAACCCCCACTGCCCCTGGGCTCTGCCCTCCTCCACCTGCCTTCCTGGTGCTCTGGCCCTCTAGGAGTTCTTTCTTCTGAAGTGTCTCCTGGAAGGCTCTTCCTGCAGTGCTCTGCTGCTTCCCCCACTCACCAGATGGCTTGTCCACTGAGGGTGCGACTGTGATCAGGACTGACAAGGATACAGAGTCAGGCCCCCTGCATTCTCCATGACCAGAAGCACAAACTCAGACTGGACCGGGTCGCTGGCTGCCAAAGAGGGAGTGGGGGAAAGTGTCCCCCAGCCTGGGAGATGGCGGCTGGAGAGACTAAGACATCCTGAGGGCTTGGCTGTCCTGTGGATACCAAAGGGAGGGGACAGGCAGGGAGCATGGCGTGGCTGGCCCTGGTCTGGATGGGCAGCATCGCGGTGCTGGCTCAGGCAAGGAGGTTTTTGGGGTTTTGGGTTTTCTCGTCCTCTTGACAGTAGCCGCAGAAGCTGGATGGGAGCCCAGGCAGGGCCCCATTTTGGCTGGCCAGCTGCAGCCTCTCTGTGGGTGCACCCAGCGCCCCTCCATCTCATCCCGGGCCAGCTTCTGAGGGAGGGATGGAGGGAGGGTGTCAGGTGACCGCCTCTGGCTGGAGGGGACCCGGCTGCTCAGCACCCCCATGCTGCGGGCTGTGGGCTATGGAACAGAAGAACATTCTCCGCAGGGCAGGGGAGCTGTGTTCAGGGAGGACTCAAGGGAGATTCCGAAAATGTAGGAAGAAGCTGCCTTTAGCTACGGTTAAAGGAAAAGGCCCTGGCAGGAGAGGGCGAGAGGCAGGGAGAGGGAATGCGGAAGGCAGGCAGGCGCTCCATGCCCGGGTGGGGCTGGGCGCTGGGCTTGGCTGAGCCGCAGAGACCTGCTGGCTGCAGGAATCAGGGCTGCCCCACTGGCGGGCGGCCAGGTCTCCCAGGGGCCACCCTGCTCACCAGAAGGTCTCCCTGCTGGCTCCTGTCCACAATGCCTTTAGTTAAATTTGTTTTGTTTTGGGTCACACCCAGTGATTGTCAGGGCTTCCTCCAGGCTCTGCACTCAGGATCACTCCTGGTGGGGTTTCATGGAACCATAGGCCATGCCAGGGATCAAATCAGGGTGAGTCATTTGCTAGGCAGACTCCTTAACCCCTGTCCATCTCTCCTTTAGGGACTGTATTCCCCTGCAGTCTCTCTCGTCTCTCTCTCTCTCTCTCTCTCTCTCTCTCTCTCTCTCTCTCTCTCTCTCTCTCTCTGCGGTTCCTGTCTTTCCCTTGCTTCCTTGCCCTGTCCCCCCCTTCCCAGGGCTCACAGGACACTGAACCCAAAGACCCCATGGGAGAGGGGCTGCTGACTCCAGCCTTGGATCCAGGGAGTGAAGCATGTGGGTAACCGCACACTTGACCCAAGACAGGCTGTGAGGGCGGAAGCGAGGGCTGGAACTGGCCAGACCGGGAGGCACTAAGTCTGACGCAGGAGGGTGCTCAGTGCATGCACGGATACCCGGAACCCTGGGACCCCAGGTCCCAGGACTGGTAGGGACTCCCGAGCATATCTCAGAGACCCTGGCATTGGATAGCCAGGACCAGGTGGCACATTGATGGCGCAGCACACTCCTGGTGGCAGGCCGCTTATTCCTGTGCATCACCTATGAGGACACGGCATTCCCGGGGTTTTCAGTCCAGGGCTCTGGGAAAGCAGATGAAGTAACCAGGCCCAAGCTCAGCCTGGGCGAACAGCATGGAGAAGATGCTAAAGAGACTTCCCGGGCAGCCCTAAGCTGGGGGCAGGAGACTAAGGCTTGAGAGTTGATGGGCATAATAGTTGGCAGTGATCACACTGGACAAGAAATGAGTGTTAAAAGTAGGATATATGCGATGTCCTTTCAGTATCTGTATTGCAAACCACAATGGCCTGAAAGGGGGTGGGGGGAGAGAGAGAGAGAGAGAGAGAGAGAGAGAGAGAGAGAGAGAGAGAGAGAGAGAGAGAGAGGTGGGTTGGGGTTGGGGAGTGATGGGAGGGAACATGGGGACACTGGTGCTGGGAATTGTACACTGGTGGAGGGATGGGTGTTGGAACACTGTGGGACTGAAACGTTATCATAAACTGCTTTGTAAGGGTCCAGCTCACAGTGATTCAATAAAAAAAAAATCTTAAAAATAAGAGTAGACAAGGAGTGGGGGAGGGAGGGGACGCTGGGGAGCTGGAAGTGGAGTGATGGACTTAGAGGTGGAGGCATCCCGTTTAACCCAGAGGTCAGGGGGCAAAGGCCTGACCTATGACCTGCTGACCCTTGTGATGGGAGCCTGGGCTGTCTTTGGAGGAGCTGAGCAGCCCCCGCATGGCAGGCCCTGTCCTTCTGTCTCAGGCTCGGGACAGGGCTGGGAGGAAGGAGCAGGCTCTGGCAGCAGAGCAACCCCCTGCATCCCCCTGCCCGCACCCAAGAAAGGGGACCCGTCACCCCCACCCAGGCCCCAGAGCCAGCTGTGCGGGAGCAGAGCCTGAGGCTTCTGCCGCAGTGGGGCCAGGACTGAAGCAGACCCGGGTCCAAGGAAGCCGCGCACCCGTCCTCCCAGGGCCCCTGTGCTCTCTCTGGGGGGGGCCTGGCCTTCTCCGCACAGGGGCGGGGTGCTTCCTGGGCCTCATGCTCCTGCCCTGCAGCTCCACGGACGTGCACACCGTGGCGTCCCTGCTGAAGCTCTACCTCCGGGAGCTGCCCGAGCCCGTGGTGCCCTTCGCCAGGTACGAGGACTTCCTCAGCTGCGCCCAGCTGCTCACCAAGGACGAGGGCGAGGTGAGGCACGGGGGTGCTCGCGGAGCCGGGGCCCAGCCTCTCACTGCCCAGGGCACCTTGTTCCTGCCTGCACCCAGTTCTGAGGGTGGGAGGGCTGCCTGCCACAGTGTGTGGGGGTGTCCTGGGGCACCTGCTCTGTGGGGGGTGTCTTGGAGCACCTGCTCTGTAGGGGGGATGTCCTGGGGCACCTGCTCTGTGTGGGGGGTGACCTGGGGCACCACCTGTTCTGTGGGGGGTGTCTTGGGGTACCTGCTCTGTGGGGGGAGTGTCCTGGGGCACCTGTTCTGTGAGGGGGTGTCTTGGAGCACCTGCTCTGTGGGGGGGGATGTCCTGGGGCACCTGCTCTGTGGGGGGGATGTCCTGGGGCACCTGCTCTGTGGGGGGGTGACCTGGGGTACCTGCTCTGTGGGGGGTGTCCTGGGGCACCTGCACACCTGCTCTGTGTATGGGGTTATCCTAGGGCATCTTCTCTGCTGTCTGGGGGTTATCCTAGAGTACTTGCTGTGCTGTGTGTGGGTGTCCTGGGTACCCAGGCTTGTATGTGTATGTTGGGGGGAATTCTCAGAGGACTGTGTTCTGTTGTTTGGAAAAGGGTGGCTGGTTGTCCCCTTCCTGTGACCTGGGGATGTCTCCGTGATGTCACCTGGTCTTCTCAAAGGGTCAGTCCCTCCTGAGCAGGCTGTGATCCCAGCCCTGCCCTGGGGAAGTCCCCAGATGGAGCCACCACACAGGAAGTCACCCAGTCCCCAGACCCTGGGAACAAGCAGGACCTTTCATCTGTTTCTCTCCTGCCTCAACCCCCAGAGCTGCGAGCGCTTCCAGGACAGAGGGGCCCCCTCCCCTCACCCCACAGGTGCCCGCCGCTCTGCTCAGAGATGCTCTGTTTACCCTCTCAGCAGCCATGTGGGAGATGAGGGTCTTTATCTAGCAAATATTTGAGCTCTGATAAGCAGGCGGAGAGCCGGCCCTGACATTCCTGTGTGGCCAGCAGAGGCGCACCCCTCTCACCAGCTTCCCCGGAGACCCCAGCCCCGAGGGAGACAGAGGCTGGTACTTCTGTTCACCTGGGGCATGACCCTAGCAGGAAATCTGGGTTCGCCCCTGTGCCTCAGCCCCCTCAGCTACTCCTGGACCAGGAGAAGCCTCAAATAAGAGTGGGGCCTGGGGCTTCATCACTGATCGTTGAAATGCTCATTTCCTCTTTCATTCTCAAGGGGACTCTGGAGTTGACTAAACAAGTGAGCAACCTTCCCCTGGCCAATTACAACCTGCTCAGATATATCTGCAAGTAAGTCGCTGGAGGCCGGAATGCCCCTTTCATGTGCTCCAGGGTGAGGGCCTGGGTTTTTCTCCTGTACCCCTACCCCCAACCAGCCTCAGGGAGCAGATGAGAACTCAGCCAGGAGCCCTGGGCAGACAGACCTGAGGCGGTCATTCAGGAGGAGAGGGACACAACATTCATCCTCTCTCCCTCCTCTGGGCCTTCTCCCGGTTCGTGCTCCTGGGGGTTTAGCCTCCTGACCTCCAAGGGGGAGAGGCCAGACAAGACTCCCCTGGTCCTCAGGGCCAGGGGGTGGGGTGGGGAATCCAGCTCTTCCCTAGCATGTGCCCCGCCAGGCAGGGGAATAGGGCCTTTGCCTCTGCCAGACCTGGAACCATGAGAACTTGTGGGAGCAACTGGATCTGGAGTCCCAGCTGCCCCCCAAGAATCTGGCGTCCTTATCGCGCAGGTTTCTGGATGAAGTTCAGGCCCACTCAAACGTCAACAAAATGAGCGTCCAGAACCTGGCGACCGTTTTTGGACCCAACATACTTCGGCCACAGGTCGAAGACCCAGTGACCATTATGGAAGGTACAGGGGTGGCGGGGGTGGGGGGAGGCATAGGGTGTCCCGTGGCTGGGGTTTAGGCATCCCCGAGATCTGAGCAAGGCTTCAACCATCACTGTCCCAGCCTGACCAGGCCAGCAGGAGAGGTGTCCTGGGAGCTCCAGCACTGCGGACTCGGCCAGAGCCTCCCCGGACTCCCCTCCCCCAGGAGGGGACGGGTGTCTATAAAAGGACCAGGAACTGTGCCCTGTGCTGGCGGGTCACAGCAGGTCACGGGGTGAAAATGTGGTGTGTGGGGGGGAAGCTTCGGGGGAGGGAGGAGGTCAGCGCCCTTGCCCTTGAATACACACAGATGTTTCACTCCACTCAAGTCATTTTCAATTAAGGCGCTGTCTCCGGCCCCTGGACAGCAGAGCTCTGCAAACCCGGGGAATTCCTGGCCTGTGCGAACTAATAATAATAAAGCGATGGAAACAGCTATTGGCATTTGGAAGGAGACAAGCCTCTCCCAAGTGTCATATTTGTCATCCCCGCACTTTAATCTTCTCGAGCAGCTCGCACTGAGGAGGTGTAAGGAGGTGTGAGGAGGTGGCTCGGGAAGAGCATGTGATCCCCTCTTGCTAAACCAGCAGCGCATTCTCACCACACATACACACCAAACATACTACACACACTACACGTGTGTTCACACCACACGTGCTGCGTACCTTCCACACACACACACACACCACATATATTCATACCACGCATGCTACACAAGCACCCACCACGCACGTGTTCACACCATACACATTGCACACCACACACATACACCACACACACAGTGCACAAGCACACATGCATATACACAGACAGATGCTTCCCTTCACTTCAGTCATTTTCAATGAAGTGAAGTGAAGCATCCCCACACACGATCACACCACTTACACTGCACATATGCCATCCACACACTCGAATCACACACCCCACATACACACACACACCACACACGCACTCAGAGCACACACCACATGCGCATTCACACCACACGGGCGCTCACACACCTCGGACCCCACACATACACACACCCCACATACACGCATACACCAGCAGGTGCACACACCACCCTCATACTCAGCACAGCACACCACACACACCATCACCACCACACATGCACCACACACCTACACCACACACACCACAACGCACACCACACCACACACGCCACAGTCTTCTTACTCTTGCTGTGCTGGGTCACTGCTCCGACTTTAGGGAGGAAGTTAAGGCCTAGAGAAACCAGGTGACATCTGAAGGGAGGGCTCAGGTGTGCTCCAGGCTGGGACTGGACACCTATGGGAAGTGTCCCCAGGGCTAGGCGTGAGACTCCCGCTGCTCACACACACCCAGGAAGCCACAGGCCAGTCACGTGGACATAGGACCAGGCTTCCCACAACACACACTCCCCACACCCGGCCCACTGGAGCTTGGGGAAAAGAAGGGGTGAGGGGCTTGCAGGGTGTGTGGACCACAGAGCTGTTCTCCTTGCCCCCAAGCCAAAGGTGGGGGCCTTGGGGTTGATGCTCTTGCTGGGGCCCCCCTCGCTGGGCTGGTGCTGCTGGGTCTCCTGCCCTTATGAGGCCAGGCAGCATGAATAACATTTGAACACTCCCCTCCCCTCCCCCTTAGCTTTTCTCCCATCCACCCTCCACTTGGCGGCGTTCCTGGTTTTCTATCTGAAGGAATCCTTCTCCTGCCTCCCCCATCACTGATTTCTCAGTTGCCCTAGTGGCAGCACCTGGGCCCACCCAAGCACTCCACCTTCCTGGGTGCCTGGAAATCCCCCAGGTCCTGCTCCTGGTTTGGTTGAGGGAAGCAGAGGAGAAACGGGGCCCACAGACACTAGGGTTCTGTGCTGAGTCCCCGCATCACAGCCAGCTGCACCCGAGGGGTGAGGGGGTGGGTGCTTGCCTGTGCGTGAGCATGAGCTCACCTATCTGTGACACCCCTTGCCCAGAGCCCTGTGTCCCCCAGAGGGCCGGGCCTGCTGAGCTGGGCTCAGACACAGTGACCCAGGGGGGCTCCCAGCCTGTGTGCAGCACAGGAGCTGGGGTAGACCCTGGGATGCATCCAGGCCAGGATTTCCGGGGTGCGGACCGGGCCTGATGCCGCTCTCGCCCTCTCTCCCGGCAGGCACTTCGCTGGTGCAGCACCTGATGACCGTGCTCATCCGCAAGCACAGCCAGCTCTTCACCGCCCGGGCCGCCGAGGGGCCCGCCTCGCCTCGGGGAGGCCCTCCGTGCACGGTGGGGTGGGTCTCCGAGGAGGGCCCGGGGCACAGTCCGCCCGAGCCCAGCAGCCCCAGTGCCCCCGGCCTGCCCTCGCACCGGACCTCATCTCTGGACGGAGCCACGGTGGCCGCGCTCTCCAGGACCACCCCGTCGGGCGCCGGGCTCCGGAGCGCCTCCGCCCCCGCCTCCGGGAAGAAGGTGCAGACCCTGCCCAATTGGAAGTCTTCCTTCCGGCAGTCGGGCTCCCGCGCCGGCAGCCCCAAGGTGGGCGCCTCGTCCCTCGAGGTGCCCATCATCTCCTCGGGCGGGAACTGGCTCATGAACGGGCTGTCCTCGCTGCGCGGCCACCGCCGGGCCTCGTCGGGGGACCGGCTCAAGGACGCGGGGGGCGTGCAGAGACTGTCCACCTACGACAACGTGCCCCCGGCCAGCCCCTTCCCCAGCACGCCCAGCGTGGCCAGCACGGCCTGGTCCGCCGCCTCGTCCTGCGGGGCCTCCGCCGCCGGCTCGGTCAGCAGCTGCTCGGCCTGCAGGGCCAGCGACTCGTCGGCCTGCAGCTCCCTGCACACCGAGGGGCCGCTCGAGCCCTCCCCCTTCCCCAGCAGCAGCGAGGACCGCCGGTCCCCGGACCTGGGCCACAGCCTGGACGAGGAGGGCACCGGCCTCAGTAGCGACCAACCCAGCGAGCCGGGCAGCCCCGCCCTGGAGCGGGCACAGCACTCCGAGGCCCTGCACAGCCTGGTCACGGAGCTCAGGGCGGAGCTGGGCCGCCAGAGGACTGAGTACCAGATGAGCGTGAAAAGGTAAAGGGAGGCTGCCTGGCCCACTGGCCCCCGTGGGGGCTCCCCGCCCCGCTCCCCACAAAGGCGCAGGCCTCCTGGAGGCGGGGTCCAGGGCAGCCCTCCCCCCAGAGGAGAGCCCAGCTGCCTGTCTTTTGGGGATGGTGGGTCGGTGTTCCCCTCTCCTCCCTGGTTCGGTGGCAGTGGCGAGCAGAGGGAAGGTGCCAGGGTGTGGGAATGCTCCTGCGTGCAGGGTGGGCGGCTGAGTCGAAGGCGGATCACTGAGCCTGCACAGTGGCCACCCGCAACAGTGTCCGCCCCCAGCCGCCTGCCCTGTCTAGGTGGATGAAGTTTCCTGGAGCAGGGGTGGCTGTGTGGAGTTTGAACCAGGGACGCCTCTGCCCGAGGCCTGCGGCTTGTTCCCAGGGGGGCTTCATGGGCCTGGCTGCCTCCCTACCAGGAGGGTGTCCTCCGACTCTGACCGGTCAGGTTCTCTGGCCACCATCCCTGGTGGTCCATCAGCATCTCAGGCCCCTTAGCTCCCCTTATTGCAGCCGCCACTCGGCTGCTGGTCTGTGCACCCGGCCGGCAGCAGAGCATCTGAGGGGTCCCAGCGGCTGTTTCCTGTTAGATGGTGGTGCTGGAAGGGAGCCGTGTGTGTGTGTGTGTGTGTGTATGTGTGTGTGTGTGTGTGTGTGTGTGTGTGTGTTGGGGGGGTGGGGCAGGGAGGGGAGCACGGTGTCCAGTTCTCAGGGGCTGTTCCTGGCTCTGCACTTAGGGATCACTCCTGGTACTCTCAGGGGACAGTATTTGGTGCCAGGGATTTGCACCTGGGTCAGTGCCCACCAGGAGTAATTTCCATGCACAAGGCCAGCCCTGTTCTATCCCTCCGGCCGCAAGCCCACTCATTCTCAGCTGGCCTCTGCTCCTGGGCATTCATCTGGTCAGGTGTGGGAAGGCAGGAGCCCCTGTCTGAGGGGAGATTAGGCAGTGGGGCCCCGGAGGAGAGCGGTAGTGAAGCCCAAGGCGGGGTCTGTGGGGAAAGCTACTGCCACCGCCACTGTCTGAGCTCTGAGGCAGGAGGTCACTGTGGCGCTCCCTGAAGTGAGAGAGGATGGGCGGGGGGTGGGGGGGGCAGCGCTGGACAGTGTCAGAGAAGCTGAGGCTGCCCGTTTCCCAGGCTCTGGGAAGCTTGACCCTCGGGGCCTGGTTTTTCCGGCTAAGTGGTGGCGGGCTCGGGTTCAGACTCTGGTGTGGGTCCCCGCCCGGCACAGGCGACCCTGATGAGACAGAAGGGAACACTCAGTGCAGCGTCGGGCATATCCCGGGACCTCCCCAATCCCTTCTGTGACTTGGCTTGGGGGATGCAGGAGGGGCAATAAGGCCCCCTAAGATCTGTGCCGTCTGTGGGCCGAGTGTTCTGGGCCCCGCAGCGGGCATCCAAGGAACATGTCTGCACCTGGGTGTCAGTGCAGGTGTGGTCCACAGGTACCTTACCTCACAGGGACCCCCCCTCCTCTTGCACCCCAATTCCTGCTCTCCCCAACAAGGACTCACAGCACACCTTAAGCCAGAGCCTGTGCTTAAGGCCAAGGACACAGGTTGTTGTTGTTGGGGTTTTTTTTGTTTGTTTGTTTTTGCTTTTTGGGTCACACCCAGCAATGCACAGGGGTTACTCCTGGCTCTGCATTCAGGAGTTACTCCTGGCTGTGCTCAGGGAACCATATGGGATGCTGGGAATCGAACCCGGGTCGGCGATGTGCAAGGCAAACACTCGACCTGCTGTTCTATCTCTCCAGCTCCCTGTTGCTGTTGTTTTAATCTTTTTTTTTTTTAAGTTTAGTCACTGTGAAACGACAAACTTATTCGTGATTGGATTTCAGCCATACCATGTTTCGACAACAGTCCCTCCCACCCATCAGTCTGCTTCTATGAAAGGCTCTTTTTTTTTTTTTTTGGTTTGTTTTTGGGCCACACCTGTTGATTCTCGGGGGACTCTCCTGGCTCTGCACTCAGACTCAGGAATAATCCCTCCTAGCATCTCATATGAGATGTCAAGGTAAGCGCCTCACCTACTGGATTCTCTCTCTCTCTCTGGCCCATCCGTTTTATTTTTTAAAATACGATCTGCACTGTGGTTCACAGTGCCGTTGCTGATCAGGCTCCATACATGCTTTACCACCTCTCAGTGCCACCGCCTCCTCCCAGCTGAACGCTTCCCTTCACCATAGATGTTTTGATCAAAGCAGGTGACAATCTGCCTTCATTCTTATTGGGAGGGAGTGGCCCTTATTTGGCGCAGGAGGACAAGGAGACCACAAACATGGAAGAATTTTAAAACGGGGGGGGGGGGGCGAAGAGAGAGAGGGAGAGAGAGAGAGAGAGAGAGAGAGAGAGAGAGAGAGAGAGAGAGAGAGAGAGAGAGAGAGAGAACAAGAACAGAGGCAGGGCACTTGCCTTACACTTAACCCCAGAACCACATGTGGTCCCCCCAAGCCCAGCCAGGAGTGACCCCTGAGCACCACCAGATGTAGTCCCCAAACCAAAATAAAATGAAAAAATAACTGAAACTCTATGGTGGGCTGGGGAGATGGTCTTAAATGCCCAAAGCCTCAAATTCAGACCTGCGTACCTCATGCCCTCCCCCAAGATCACTGGGGGGCCCTAGTGGCCCCAGTAGCTCTGGGCCTGACTACCATCACATTGACTGAGCATTAAGCCATCTGGCCCAGTGGGTGAGTACCATCTGTAGGGGCTCCTGGGCCCTGTGAGCATTGGTTGGCTGTCCTCTAACCCTTACCCATACCTGGTTTTGTTCTCCTCTATCTAGCCTCCTAATATTGGGGTGCAGGAATTAGCCAAGCAATGCTCACAGGAGCACTAGCACAGTTGGGTAGGGCCCTTGCCTTGCATGCAGATGACCTGAGTTCGATTCCTGGCATCCCACATGGCCCCCCGAGCCCTGCCAGGGGTGATCCCTGGTCACAGAGTCAGGAATAAGCCCTGAGCACTGCCCGGTGTGACCCCCAAACAAAAAAAGACACTGTTCAGGGGATTTGGTGGGGAGAGAAACCTCTGGAGTCAGCAGAGGGCGTGGGGGAGCGAGGAGGAGGAAGGTGTGGGGTGGGCAGGGGCAGAGCAGTGATGCTCTGAGCTTTCTTTACCCCCAGCAAGAAGGGAATGAGGAGCTACAGGAGCTGCCTTGCCCCTGATCCTTGGATTACCCCCGCCCCCACACCCCTGTGGTCCAGGGCAGACAGATCTGTCAGGACACCCCAGGGCTGGGGCTAGAGCAACAGTGCAGCTGATAGAGCTTTTACCTTAAACGTGGCTGAATCAGGTTCCATCTTCAGCACCCCAAACCCTCTTTCCTCTTCTGCCCGTAGCCCTGCCAGAAGTAATCCCTAAGCACAGATCCAGGAGTTAAGCCTTGAGCACTAAAGCAAGACCAAAATCAGCCTGGGTGTGGGGGGGTGGGTGCTGGAGGCCTGCATGGGTGTGGGAGGGGTGACACACTCGTCAGAAGGGGCCTGAGGCAAGAGAACTGACAGAGGAAGTTGCTTTTGTTGGGGTCTAGCCCCTGGAAGGTGTTCAGGGATGGGGAGACCGGGCTGTGGAAGAGGGGGGTTGGCTGAGCCTCAGGTGCTCCCTGGGACCTTAGAGATGCTGGTTAGATTCTGTGGGGGAGGCGGGTGGGTGCTCAGGGAGAGAGTTCTTCCTGGGGTGCTATTGCCCAGAGGTGACTCGGAGTGACCGTGAAGGGAAAGAGGGAGGCCCCGAGGTCTAGAGCACCGGGCGAGGCTGGACCAGCCGAGCGGACACATAGTGAGAGCTAGAAGGGCCGGGGGCCCTGCTTCCCCCCCGGGTGGGATTGAGGGGGGGAAGCAGGGGAGCAGCTTCCTGACAGCGCAGAAGGGAGCTGGGTGCTCTCGGGGGGTCTGTCCTGCCCTCACGCTGTGCTGTGGGAGGTCGGCCCCTGCGTTTCCAGAAGAGGACACGGGGCTCAGTGCCGTGTCTGGCCTGTGGGAGCCTGGGGGTCGTGTGTGGGTCCTCGGGGCTGGGCCGAGTGACTCCCTGGGCCTTGGAGGAGCTGGTGGTTGGCCCCAGCGATGAGCTGCCTGTGCAGGTTCAGTGGCCACAGAAGCACGTGGGGTAGCTCCACGGTGGCCCTGAGAGAACCTTCCTTCAGGTGAGGCAGGAGCTGGGTGGGAAAGACCAGTGGACGGAAGCAACAGCCCAGATGGGGTGGGCTTCTGGGGCCGTATGGGGCAGAGCAGCAGGAGGGGGCCTGAATCCCTGGAAGAGCAGCGGTGAGGGGGGCAGCTCCTGCCCTAGTCCAGGGAGCCCCACTCAGGGCTGGTCGGCAGGGCCAGTGGTCAGAGAGTGCAGCCAGGACTCCCAGGGGCCCCCACACTGTTCTAGCCAGGGAGTTCGTCTGTCCAGAGGGGAGACGCCATCAGCCCACAGGGGAAGTGAAGGGCACGGAGAGGGGCAGGTGAGGGTCTCCCGGCTCACAGCCTCCCGCCCAGCTCCGTGCCTTCCTGGGAGCCCAGCCAGGCTAACAGCCCTGTCTCTCTGCTTGACCTTCCAAGACTGGAAGAGGGTAGCGCCGAGCTGAGGAAACGCATGTCCCAGTTGGAAGAAGAACTGGACCAGGAGAAGAAGAGGTACAGCATGCTGGAGATCAAGCTGAGGAACTCGGAGCGGGCGCGGGAGGACGCCGAGAAGAGGAACCAGTTGCTGCAGAAGGAGATGGAGGAGTTCTTCTCTACCCTGGGAAGCCTGACTGTCGGGGCGAAAGGTGCCAAAGCCCCACAATAGAGGGGGGTGCTCCCCTCCCGCTAGGCTCGCCTCCTCTCCGCAGGACTCTGCGGGCGACCGTGCAGTGCTGCCCGGCTGGCCGGGCCTCCGTGAGGCTGTTCCTGACCACACCCCCCACACCCCCAGTTTCCGGGGCAGGGGGGACCTCCCGCACCTCACACGGGTTCTGGATCCTGCTCAACCAGTGGGGGACCGAGAGGGTGTCAGACAGGACAGTGCCAGCGCCACCAAAATAGATGGCACTTGGGGTTCCTGCCCCCCTCCAGGAACCCTTGTGTTGTTTATTAAATTTGCTCCCAAAGCAAGATGCCTACCTGTCTGACTCCTTCTTTATGGTCATGCACCCTTGAGGGTGGGGGTGGGGGGCTGGCCACGTGAGCTCGGCTGGTGCCCCAAAGGTTGGCAGCCCACAAGGTATCCCAGGAGTAGCCTTCTGAAGGCTACTTACTTCTTAGCACAGCACCCCAAGGAGCACCCTGCACCTGGGGCTCTGAATCTGGCTTCTGGCCCCGACTTCCCAACACCAGGCCCTTATGAGAACTGCCTGCCCTTACCCTGGGGCCAGAGCTAGTGAGTCAGCCCGCTCTGTTCTCTGCTTCAGCACCCCAGGGTCTGTGCAGAGCCCCCATGCGTGTATCAGAAGGAGAGGTGACCCCTGCAGAGGGGAGGGCTCAGGCTGTACCCTCTTGTTACAGGCAATGGGGCCCCCTTGAGAGAGTGCTCGTTCTCTCCCTCGCACACTTGTGACCTTGCTCCTTTAGCTCACCTTCTCCTTCAAAGCTCCTGGACTATGGAGTCTCAAGAATGTCTCCGCAGGCCTAGCTTAGGCCTGACCCAGGCCTAGATAATGACAGAGCCTGGATCCCTAGAGCTATTTCTGCTCCCTGTGTATTTCCAGGTTTTCTCCGGTGACTCAAACAATAATCTGAATTGCTTCTTGGGCATCCTGGGAGACTTGGGAGACTTGGCTCCATGCAACGCTGGGCCCTGAGGAGGTGGCACCTCTTGGGCCCAGCAGTTCTAGGGACCTCCAGGGCTATATCCAGTGATGCTCAGGAAGCCACTAGGTGCCAGGGATTGAACATTCATTGCATGCACCCCTGTCTTCTAGGTGCTCCCCATGCAGTGGTTTGGGGGAGTGGGCAAGGGGATACTGCCGTGCTCTCGTTTCTGACACTCTCTACAAGAGTCCCTCAGGCTCACCCACCTGGAGCCAAGCTAGTGCTTAGGGAGAGCTGACTCACACAGGCCCAGAGGGCTGATGTCCCTCCAGGAGGCCAAGGAGCATCCGGGGTACACACTTTCTTTCTTTCTTTTTTTTGGTTTTTGGGTCACACCCGGTGATGCATAGGGGTTATTCCTGGCCTTGCACTCAGGAATTACTCCTGGTGGTGCTCGGGGGACCATATGGAATGCTGAGAATCGAACCCGGACTGGCCACGTGCAAGGCAAACGCCCTACCCGCTGTGCTATTGCTCCAGCCCCGGTACACACTTTCTTAAGGATCTCAGAGAGGAGGGAAGGGGAGAGCAGACCTGCTCCCTGCAGCCTTCCCTGAAGGAGAAATTTTGCTTTCCTCTCCGCTGGAGGAAAGAATATGCAGTGGCCGACTCCTCATAACCCACCCAGAAAGCTCCATTCAGGGAGAAACCGAGAAGGACGGTGGGAACACCAGCCTAGGCTTCAGGCCCCAAGTTACCCGCACCATAGTCCTGGAAGTCTGCTGAAGTGCAGCCAGGCTACCAAAGGGACAGAAAAGATCAAAGGGGCTTCATATGGCGAAAGGGAGGTTGTCTGTCTTCTCAGTCACTAGCCAAGAACTTTCCGGCAAGCCTTATACCAACACCAGCTCATAGTTTTGGCAAAACTGCCACCTGCTGGTCAGACTAGGATCTGCATGGGGGAAGTTTAGCTCTGGCAATTGGGCCTGTTGAGTCAATCCATTGAACCCGGATTCCCCGTTTTGTCCTTAGGGCCCACTGACTTCTGTCTGTGCAGCCCCCTGAGCACTGAGCCGTCCCTCTTCGTTTGATCCTCTTTAAGTGAGTTCCATGTTCAGAACTTATTCCCACACAATATTAGGTTCAACTTGTACCTAACGTTGTAGGGGCATGGTTACACTTCTCTAACTCATTCCTCATTGTTAGCCAATTGTTATTCAATGAGGAATGAGTTAGAGAAGATTGCTCGAGGTAATCATTTTCCAAAAACCTAACAAAGGACTTAGACAAGTTGCTTTAAAAGTTTACCTGAGAGTAAGAGAGAGCACGAACGGTTGAGGCACGAACTCATGCCTGCATGAGTGACCCTGAGTCCCGTTCCCGAGTCCCACATCCTGCAGAATCTGGTCCAGGGCTACTTGAGAAGACAGGAGACCTGGACATGCTGCGCATTGTTTGGGAGCTCCCCCATACCCCCATCCCCCAACCCCCCTCCGTCCAGGAAAGCTTGCCAAATTAAATATTGGGTAAAGTATACAATGATAGACAAAAGTTTTTTTTTTCTTTTTAAAATCTACAATTCTCATCTCAGACTTCTTCAAAGTGTTTTAAAATTTATATTTGAGGAGCCAGAGAGATAGTACAGCTGGTAAGGCACTTGCCTTGTACAATGCCCACTGGATTCAATCCCTGGCACTACATATGGTCCCCTGAGCACCAATAGGAGTGACCCCAGAACATAGAGCCAGGAGTAAGTCCTGAGACCACCAGATACATACAAAAACAAAACAAAAAGTTGTATTTGATCGGGGGCGGGGATGGGTTGGACTTCAGCCACTCCCTGCAGTGCTCAGGAACTGTTCCTTACTCTTTGCTTACTGGTGATCCCTGGTGATGCTCCGGGGCCCTTATGTGTTGCTGGGGAGTGAAGCCAGAGTCACAGCCAACACCTCATGCCTTACCTCTGGTACCTTTCTTCAGTTCCAAATTTGATGTTAAGCTGGAGTGGGGCTAGATAGTACAGCGAATCGGGTTCTTGCCTTGTGTGCAGCTGAACCAACCAGGTTAGATCCCCAGCACCCCATATGCTGCCCTGAGCCCTGCCAGGAGTGATGCCTGAACAGAGAGCCCTGAGCACTGCTGGGGATGGCCACAGAACAGAATGAAACCAAAACGAATAAAAAATTTTTTTGCATTCTAGTGGAATAAGACCTACTATAAAGAAATATTTAAAAAAGACATGTCTCAAAAAGAAGTCACTTATTCTAAGCCCCTCGTCACCACACCAAGGCTTGATTATAGTTTTAGCTCTGAAGGAAAACGGGATCTTAAACCAGTCAATCCAGAATTGCCCAATCAGTCCCCTGCTGTGTCCTACAGGAAAACAATCATGCACTAACCACTTATTTTTTCTATTTAGTATCATTTTCAATGGGCACTCTCCAGCCTTCAAAAGTCTTTCATTTCATACAACCCTCCAATACCCCTGCCAGATTCATGAATCACTGAATCAAGATCCTTACATATTACCACTGAATTTTGTTCATCAAACTGTTTATACAGGCATAAAGTTTCAGAAAAAGTGTATGAAGTTGGGGCTGGAGTGATAGTACAGTGGGTAGGGCATTTGCCTTGGACGCGGCCGACCCGGGTTCAATTCCCAGCATCCCATATGATCCCCCGAGCAGGAGTAATTCCTGAGTGAAGAGCCAGGAGTAACCCCTGTGCATTGCCAGGTGTGACCCAAAAAGAAAAAAAAAATAAGAGTATATGAAGTGATCTGGAAAGGAGACCCCAGGGAGTAAATTCTAGACCTGGAGGCAGAAAGTGATCTCTGAGGAGGTGGCGAATAGACTGAAAACCGGGAGCTGGGGCAGTTGTGTGACCAGCCAGCTGTAGGCGAAAGGGGAAGACCTAGAGGAGGTGTGAATGCGAGGGAGTGCCAAGGCTAAAGTCGGGCAGTACCAGGCACTGAGGGCCCTCCCAGAAAGCTGTTCTTTTTTTTCCTTTTCTTTTAGTTTTTGGGCCACTCCTGGTTTGGAGATGGCTGAGAGGGGGAGTTTGTTCCACCAATGCTCAGAGTACTATGCAATACCCGTGGAACCTGGGCCTCTGCATGCATAGCAAGCACTCAGCCTCACTCAGGCTCCAGATGTTATTTCTAAGCTGAGGAAGCTAAGAAAGCCCTGGAGGACTTCCAGCCGAGGCAGATAAATTGGCTTGCTTTTAAATAAGGCTCCTTCGACCACAGGCGGAGAGTGGATGGGTTTGGGCGTGGGAGAGAGCAAAAGTGGTTACAGACGAACTAGTCAGGGAGCTCGGGTTGGGATCCAGATCACAGAAGCTAGCCAGGAATGGACTGAAGACTAAATGAGAGGGGAACAAGGGAAAACCAGTGTCCAGAACAGTCTTCCACAAGACCTGATGAGAAAGGGGGAAGCCGAATGGGGTCTGCTAACCCAGTGCATCAGAAAGTCAAATGCTGGTTCCCTGGCTTTACGGGCAGGAAGGGCTTCACTGTACTCCAGAGTATGCAGATGGGCAGATGGGCACAAGGCTGGAGTCGACACAATCACAAAATCAAATCACAAATCATCCTGTTATTCGTCGATTGCCTCGAGCAGGCCCCAGTAACGTCTCCTTCATCCTGGCCCTGAGGTTATATTCAAGGCTCTTTAGGAGAATGAGACCCATCATTGTTACTGGTATTTGGCATATTGGGAGTCGACAAATGGCAGCATTTGTCTCAACTATTATTTACTGCGGTGGAAGGAAGCCACTGAAATGTCCATGTCTTCTATTTCTTTGGGGGGAAAAAAAACCTACAAGAAGGTGGGTTTTCAAGACAAACAGGACGAGGGCCTTGAGGCCTGCAGTCTCCGGCTAAACAGGATGGGGAAGGTTCTTGGAGCATTTCCTCCTAAAATGCAACTTGTAGCAGGCTTTAGGTTCTTCTGGCTGTTTTGAAGGCAAAAGGTAAACAGAAGATGGAGGGAGAGGTAGGGCATAGTGTTTGAGTGAGTTTCTGCTTCTGTCCTGAAGGACAACTGTAACATAAACACTGCAGCTCAGCAGCCTTCTTAA